ATAGATAGATAGATAGATAGATAGATAGATAGATAGATAGATAGATAGATAGATAGATAGATAGATAGATAGATATAGATAGATAGATAAAAACTGCTACGTCTGCTGGGTTTTGGAAAGTCTAAACCTGAGAATTATTCTGGCTGTTCGTGCATCCTTGTAAGTATATGAGCCGTCCAATCAGAAGGAGCAGCAGGCTCACGCAGAGCATGGCCACAGGCTCCTGGTGGATGTGTGGCATGAGGTTCAGATGAACAATTTCTCGTCTGGGTCGACCAATCCTCTGCAAATGAAAAGTAGACAGGGAAAAGACGTTGTTAAAATAATAATAATGACAAAAAATATCAAGTATTCCAATAGGTTCCACAAAATACAAAGATTATTCTAGTTTTTAATTTAGCTAAGAGTTGCTTCTTTCAGCTAAAACTTTACATCCAGTGTTTAAAAATTAACGTATTTTTGATTTTAGACAGAAAAAAAGTGACCTCCGGCATTAATTTTTTTACTTGTGTTTGCATGGGTAGATTTTAAAGATATACTCTTCTGCAGTTTTAGTTGTTGCATATTTTATAAAGTAGTTGATCATACAACTTCAGAAAGCATTACATTCAGTCAATAAAAACATCTAAGTTCATACTATATATATATATATATATATATATATATATATGATGGTTTATTCATTTCTTTTTTTATTTTTTTGCAAAATGTTCTGAGTGTGCCATCATATACGTACATCAAATGTTCATGTAAACTCTTCCGGATCACTTGATGTTTGCAAATCAAAGGGACATGCATGGTGTATGTTTACATCCACAGGAAGCAGTTAAGTATAGATCTCTACATCCTGCCACAACTTTCTTTTTATTTTTTGCTCTCTCCACCTTCAGGCGCCGGCACATTTTAATGTTCATGTATATTTACTTTGTGTTTCTCAGTTTTTATGGATTCAATTAGCCTGAATAGTTCAGATTTATTTTTTCATTTATTTTGTTCTATAAACTGATTTCCTGTACTGTCATTTGACAGAGTCCTGTAAAATGTGAATATTCACATATAAAAGTTTTTTGTCTGCAAAGTGATTTATAACAGTTAACAGTATAACATCTCCCACTGAGACTCATTTAAAACCCTCTCTCAATCATAATAACATAGTTAGGCTACTCGTTCTGCACATGTACTTCTGCTACTTTCCTGAACGCACATTAGAACTGACAGCAGATCACTTGTATGACGTTATTTTCTGCCACTGCTGCTCATAGCCTTTTAAAGAATCACCACGCTCAGCACCATGAATCCTTGGGCATAAAATGAGGTCAGAGTCCACATGTCAAACACTTTGAAACACTAAAGTAACAAATTATTCCACTTCATATCAGTTGACTGTAGCTGAATTAAAGCAGTGATGTGAGAGCCTAGTTTGGAAACCAGACAAAACTCCTAGGTCATGCTTTATTTGCTCTGGTAGAGAGTGATTGAGCTGGCTGAGTTTATTACAACGATGAGTGGGTGTGATATATTTAAGTAAAAAGTGCAACTGAAACCCATTGCTCAGAGCCACATGATGTGATTCATTGCTGAAACCTGTTCAACCTCTTTCTGACTGCTTCTAAAGGCATTCAGTCTGCAGGGTTTGGAAAGTAAAAAATGAAATGAAAGTGAACTCATTTAATACCAAATTTTCCCCAGACATAAAAAATATCCACATTAGGTATTATTGGTAGCCTTGAAAACACAATTGTGACCAGTCATAAAATTGTGACTGGTGGGCTAATGTGTGGTACTCTTACTTAGAGGAGCTAATAGTGATTTTTGTCAAATGATAAAGAGCATTTTAAGTGAACCTTGTTTTTCTATTTGAATATAACTTGCTACAACATTACTATCGTGTCATTGTAACATTTTTGGTGCAACATTCACTAGAAAACATGCATAACACTTGTGTGAGCCATTCAAATTGAACAAAATATTTAGGTGCAATGCCCAATGTAAATTAGAGGAATGTAGAAAGACCTCAGCTCTTTAGAAAAGTGCTGTTTATGCATAACCATAATGAACTGTCATCAATGGACCTAGTCTGTTGTACTGCTCCTTCTCACCATTTGGTAACTTCTACAGGGGTGTAAATCAGCAGCTTTATCATGATACAATATTACTTTGATTTGTCCAGATGACGATACACTGCTTCTTGATATCACAAAGTCTGTCATGATACAATTTTGATTCAATTCAATTCACAAGTCTGCGATTTTGATATGAAGAGATTGCATATGCTCATAACACAATTATTTAGTAAATGATTGTGTTAGATGGGCATATGATGACAATATGTGTCAATGTTTTCATTTTGCCTCAATCAATGTAATTGAATCTATAATCATTTAGTCGATTTGTTGATGTGGATCGATGTTTTGTTATGGCCCTATTCGGCATTCCTCACGTTTGGGTCCTTTCATCCCCTCTTTCCATGATATTTCTTGAAGCACTCAATGTGCAAGACAGCACTGGTGGGCAGGGTAAATTCACCAGAACATGTGATGAGCTAATAGTGCATTTTTTGGTCTTGATCTTTATGTTTGCTCACCAATAGCTTTTCACATGGCTCATGTGTCTGCCTAGGATGGCTTGTAGGGTCCCTGTACTCTTCGTGATAAACGTTTACAGGTGATACATGAGTGCTACATGATTTTGTTGCATAAAGTCAGCATTTGCTTTCCAAATCCCAGATGGCAAATGGTCTATCTCCTCCTCATAGTCCCATGTCTGATCCAGCACTATCACAATCAGTAAGGATGGCATCTTCCTCATTTTGAGGGATAACTGCAATGTTGCATGCCTTGTCTGGCCCATCACATAAATCCAACATAAGATCCTCACTCAAAGTAAAGCTAAAAGAACAAAAGAAGAACATTTGACATGGTAAGACTATGGTATTTAGTTGTACATGCACCCAAATACAATGTGCTATTCCACTGGTCACTATTGTGACCGTCAACATGTTTACTCTGTGCATACAAACCAAACCAATTTCAGTAAAAGTGAAGGCATATATCATAACTACACACTCTTAAAAGCAGGTACACAAAAAAATCTTTGTCCTATGTTTTTTTTCATCATACCTTATTTGCCTCTTCTTTGGAAGGTTTGAGGCAGCCATGCTCTCATCATGGTGAAACCAGCTCTGGTCATATGACAGGTTACTCTAAACATTTGACTCTGCATAAATTTCATCCAAACACTGTAATCTTTCTATATTTACTGAACATTAATTGAATGTTATCAATAACATTTTTGTAGCCCTATAAACAAAAATAGATTTTATGGTCACTATTGTGACCAGTAAGGTTGAACAAAACAAAAAAATCTTTAAGTCCAGGGCATCATTAAGATACCAAAGTGACAGTGCAGACGGCATCACATTCATAAAATATTTGTTTAAACAGTCAAATGTGACCACTGAAAATAACTTGCAATAGTTTGGTCTGAGGCTGTAAAAGTGGCTTCATATTGTGCCTTTCATTTGTTATAACTACTTCTTTTTTTCCCTCCCTCAGCCTCTCTACAGTCACTTCAGGGGAAAAAAAAGTGTAAGTTTCAACTGAAACAGGTGTTTTCCTTTCCGCTCTCTACCCTTACAGTCTACAGCTCTCTGACTTGGCTTCAGTCCATCACTCTAGCATCACCGGATTTCCCATAATGACAATTCTTACTGAAAATACGCACACAAGGAAAATTCTTCAAAAATTCTTGAACAATGCAAGTTCAAACTAATCTTTTTTTTTATGCTTGCCTGAACAAGCTTTAGAAAAACCCGTAAGAACTTTTCCTTAGTATTTCTGAACTTGTGATAAAATTACAAAATGCCAAAAAAAAGAATGATAGCAGGGGGTTGTCTTCCTCACATAAGACTATTTTACAAAACCCTATCTTATTTATATGATAATGGAAGCATTAGAAAAACACTGCTGCATCTGAACCCATTTTAAAAGAACAAATAATAAGAATTTTACAAGAGCTGTGATTGTTTTTTTTCCCCCTCATTTGGCGTTCAGCCCACATGGTGCAGCCAGGCAGGAAAGACTGTACAATACTCTCCAGACAGTGACTCGCTCAGAGTAAGTCTCCTGCCCCGGGGCGAGACCTCTCTCTCTCAAAAGCAAGATCTTTATGGATGAGAGTAAAAGAGGCGTATCAAACCTGTGCGGTTTGATTTAAAAAGTGGGCCAAAAACCACTGAAAGGCCTAAAGTCAGGAGAGGAAACAGGTGAGGGGAAGACTATTTAACCCTGTAATAAACCACAGGCTGCTTCTAATTTGGAACCATACTGCGAGCATGTTAAACAAACAGGTCACAGATTACCAAAACCCTGGCAAATACTGAAATAAAGATGGCACGCCTATGACTAGTTTCCACAGCTCATTCATCAGTTATGATCCAAATGGGTGACAAATTGTAAAAGAAAAAAAAAATTCTGAACACCTCCCTTGCCAGAAAGAGGGAATCCCGTGCCCGTTTTACTGTAAGGGAGCATTTTCTTGGCATAGTTTAGGTCTATTTGTTCCACTGACATTTCTCTATAGTTCTGAATAATTCTCTATAACTACTTTTGTTTCTGTGTAGTGTTGTCTAGAATGAAAATGCACTCAAATCCAAAGCAAAAACAGCCACTACAGCAATTGATAGTGACCGCCACGCTACCGCAGACCCATTCATGAAAGAAAAAAAATAAACTGAGGAAAACATCATGAATTCATGTTTAGGGTTCACAAAACTCCTCAGCTACTTGACAGACTATTTGAGAAAGACTTTTGAGGTAGACGAGACAGATTTGCGGTGATAATAGCTCAACAGTGACGATGCAAACAAAATCAAAATCAGGTATAATTTCAGGATGATGTTTGATTTGAATAAAAACCTCCAAATCACATTCCGATGTCTGCTGTGGTCATCAAAACTCTCCTGCAGTTGAACAATATGGTCTGGGTAAGGGTAAAAAAGTACAACTTTGTGCAAATGTGCACTGAAAAGGAGCATACGGTAAATGGAAGCAGTCAATCAAACACGTAATTACCAGAAACTGAAGCGTAATTCATTTAACTCAACTGCATTTTTTTGAATAACATCATAAATTTTTTAAATAAGCACAGGTCTAGTCACAACAAGACAGAAGACAGAAACAATTTGATGGGTAAATTATACAACACACTGTTTCATTTTAAGGCAATGCAGAAACAGATAGGACTGAGAGAAATGCAAAAAATATTGTCTGCTGCTCAAAATAT